GGAGGAGGAGTGAGTCAGACAAAGAGCCTCCTCCTCCTCCCCCTCCTCCAAATATATATATATATTTATATATACATAACATACAACCTTCAGCCAGACGCACAACTGGCAGCCCCATCGATTTATAGAATTAAAAACACCAAATAATGGCAAAACATCTCCTCAAAATGACAAAAAATCACCACTAAATGACTCAAAACCACCTAAAAATGACTCAAAACCACAACAAAGACTCACAGAACCACCTCCAGGAGACAAAAATTAGCATAAAAATGAGAGAAGAACACGAAGATACTGAGAGGTGTCAGAAAATGCGCACAAAGAGGAAAAATTACAACAGAAATACACAAAATGATCACAAAAAGACACAAAATAACAATAAAAAAAAACACAAAATAACAATAAGAAAAGATTCATGCGAAAAAAAACATCAAATCATCACATTTCATCATTTGTTCAGGAAAAATAACCAAAATGACACATAAAGAAAGCTAGAATTGCCATAAAATGAGCACAAAGGGGCAAAAATGAACAATGAAAAACAGATTTAGTTTGAGAAAGTGTGAGAAAAACAAAGAGAGATGACGTTTAAGCTGATTCAGAGAGGAAAATGAGCCTTTAGCTGCCTCTAATTGGGCTTTAGCTCAGAAAAACTGATGTTTCTTCATGGTTCTGGTTCTAGTTCTGGTTCTGGTTCTAGTTCTGTTTCTGGTTCTGGTTCTGGTTCTGGTTCTGGCACCAAGAACCCAAAATACAGCAAAAGCTCCACTAACGAGGCCAAAACACACGAATTTACAACATACAAAGTGAAATTCCATCAAATGTTCAACTAAAAACGCCCAAAGTACATTTCCAACATACAACGAATTCCTAGAAAAATATATCAAATATGAAAATTAAATAAAAATAAATAAGTTAAGTAAGTTTAAAGTTAATGTAACTTAGATAAAAAAACTAACAGAAAAATAGAAAAAGTAATATAAAAATAAAATAAAATAAATAAGCTAAGTTAGTTTAAAGTTCAGAGTACGTTAGGGTTGGTCCTGTATCTCAGTCTCTACCTGCCAATAAAAACCCTTTTTATT